TGCGCCTGCTCAGCATGCATTTCCCCTTGCTTACTTTCTTTACCTTGTTATTAAGTCTCCTGCGGCTGTTCCTGCTCTGTGGGATGGATGCATGTCAAACACCACGCAACTCTCTTGCCCTGAACTCCTGTCCTTTATTACAGGTGTCAGATTTCCGCCTGGCTTCAGCGTTCACAGCCGCTGCAATCAATGGCCCCCCAGTACAGGGCGGCCTCCCTGTCTTCACCTGGAGACGGTTTAACCACACGCGACACCAGGGACTGCCAGAATCATACAACTTCAGTTTCGTCACCATGAGGCCGATCCTGTAAAACCAGCATCAGTATTCACAAATGGTTTTTTTTTAATGGAAATTTTATTTCCCATGTGTAATAAAACGACCTGGATGTCCACATCCCTGTGCCTTACCGGCTTTCCCCTGTCCTGCCTGTGAGGCACTTGGTACTGACATTGGCCGACTCAGTGCAGCCCAACGCACTTTCCACTCTTCTGAGCTGTTTGTGTGGCCCTTCCCCTGACTAGGGTTGATGGGAAGCTGGCATGGCACTGCTTTCTAGTGATCTGAGCCATGTCACAGCTGTTCCCAGAGCAGGAGTCCACTGCAATGTGATCAGTGAGAGTGGTCTATCTCTGGTAGCAACACAGGATGTGCCTTCAGGGCTGGGCCAAGCCGGGTGGCTGCTTTGGTGGCCTTATCTCAGTTGTGGTTTGATGTCTGCCTTTTGTCTGAGCAGTGCCTAAGATGTGCTGCAAATTGTAGCAGCCTTCCAGTACTTAAAGGGGGCCTACGGGAGAGATGGGCGGCACTCTTTATCAGGGAGTGTAGTAATAGGATGAGGGGTAACAGCTTTACGTTGAAAGAGGGCAGATTTAGATTAGATCTTAGGAAGAAATTTTTCACTGGGAACCGGTTGTCCAGGGAGGTTGTGGATGCCCCATCCCTGCAGGGGTTCAAGGCCAGGCTGCATGAGGCTTTGAGCAACCTGGTCTAGTGGGAGGTCCCTTCCAACCCAAACCATTCTGTGATTCTGTGATTCCTTCTCATCCAGGAATATCACTAGTGAAGAGAGTCAAGGCTGTGTTGCCCATGGTAGGTGAGTGTGCCTGTTCTCTACAGGCTTTCACTGGCATTGGCAAGATTTCCTTTGTGTCACCAAAGCAGTGTGCAATGGTCAGGCTGCAAAAGGCAGTGAAGCGATGTACCTGGTGATTTCTGAAAGCAGCCTGATGCAGTGTAGCAGCAGGGAGAGAACGGTGTGTGTCTGTGCAATGGATCTCTTATTTTTTGGTTCAGTGACCTCTTTGCCTGGTCCCTCAGCTGTGGTGGAGGAGCATGACCGTGAGATGACTGTGAGGGCTGGGGCTGTACATATTACTCTTAGTTAACCCGTGTTTACACTGAGTTGTGTCACTGGGCTGTTTTGTGCTATATGTTACGTAATTAAGTAAAACAAAATAAACAGCTCTTTCCTCATGGCCTCGATGGTCCAAGCTAAACAGTGCACAGCACTGCCCCATATTATAAAGGTGAAGAATGAGCAGTGTGAGGTTTGAATCAAGCCCTTGGAGTTTAGCTTGTGGGATGGGGAAGGGAGTGACTGCAGCGTGGGTGAGGTTCTACCCTAATTATTTGGCTGTCACAGGAGGGCTGATTTCTGCTGTGGGAAGAGGGAGACCAGAAGATACAGTAAAGCTTTTGCTGAGGATGAAAATCTGCTCAGGGACTGAAATGATTTGTTTGCTGGAGCAGAAGGAGGTAAGCGTGAAAGGCTGGAGGGAGCATCTGTGCCATGTGCAGGGGTGGGATCCAGGGGCAAGAGATCGCTGTGTAGAATGACTGCAACTGCCACAGTACTCCCCACAGCACTGCTTTGTACCCTGCAATACAGTTCTTCGTTGAGTAAAGCAGCAAAATTACTCACCTGTGGTAGCAGGACATGCACAGCTGCCCTGTAAGTGGGCACTGGGTTGTGTGCCTCTTACAGCTGTGCCTGTGCTGGAGGGGGCATGAGTGTTGTGTTCGCTTGAGCCAAAAGAGAGGGCAGTGCTGCACAGGTGCTTTCTGCCAGAGTGAGGGGCAGGAGGCACCCCTAGTCACAGTTTTTAAATACAGCACATCCTCACTTTACTCCTGCCCCTGAGGTTCTCTACCAGTGAAGGTGTCTTGCTTGCCCACAGCTGAGGCCCCAGGAACCTTGATCCCGTGTGAGCCCTTGGCCCTGTGTGGCTTATCCTTGCCACAAGCTCTGCACTCAGACCACCTCTATGTAACGTTTTCCAGTCCCAGCCCCTGTCCCTGCCCTGTTCCAGCTGTGCTGAATGAGGGGCAGCAGGGCAGCAGGCACTTGTGATGTGTCTCTGAGCATGAACAGCAGGGCTCAACCAAACAGCCCAGCCCCTGTGTTGGGAAGCTCTGCCTGCCTCGTGTCACCTTGTGGTGTGTGCTGGGAGCCTGTGAAGGCCTGGCTGTTGTTCCTGCTGGTCTGCCATCAAGGGTGGCTCAGCCTCTGCCTGGCTTGTCAGCTTTGTCAGCTGTCACTGGGACACTCTGATTGAAGCTTCAGCCTTACAGAGCAGCAATCTTGATGCTTTTTGGCTAAGCACCAAATATGAACTAAGCCCTTTTTGTGTAGCCCTCAGGTGTTTGCTGCTGATCACTACCTTGAAATTCATGGTTTTAACTCCTGTACCGGAGACAGGCAGCTAGAGAGCTGCTGCTACCGATTGAATTGAACAGGCTGTAAGAAGGATGAAGGAGCACACTTGAAAGAAGGACTGGAGCTGGATCATGCAGGGCAGTGCTGGGATCAGAGGTGACGGCAAGTGGAAAACAGAGACTCAGCTGCTTGTTGAGGCCAGAAGCACAGAGGGGCTGGAGGATGGCTGTCTGCTACTTGACCATCACTCCTAGCCACCACAGCAATGTTGCAGGTTGTATTTACTGCCTTTTCAACCAATCTTAGTTAAAAATACTAATGGAAGAGTATTGTTTAAAAGTTGGTCCCCAAGGACCAGGAAATTGCCAAGTGGTTACTGTGTTGGACAGGGTTATTGATGCTGGGCAGACCTGGATGCTGCACCCCGCAGGGAGTGGAGGCGTGCGACAGATGTGAGATTGTGTTGTGAACAAGCATGGCAAGGGGAGAGCTGCTTTTCTATCCTACCTTGAGCCTCCTACTCTGAGGCAGGACCTGGCACTTTTACCAGAATTGTGGGAAAACAGAGCTCTACTTTTTTTAAGAGCCCTTTTCTATGACTAAATGTTTACAGCAGGGGGACCTTATGAGCCTTAGGACTCTAATTCATGTGACTGTGGCTATTTTTTTTGCCTTTGATGGTTGTACTGTTAAAAGTCACTGCATTCCTCTTACTGTGCTATCTGTCCTGTGTGCTTCAGTTGTCAGCAGGCCAGCCCAGGTTGATCTGCAGCTGGGTCCTGGCTCCTGTCCGAGCACAGCAACATCAGGGACCAGAGGAGAAGGGTTTGAGTAGGGCTGCATTGACTTACAAGCAGGAGCAAGAAAACCACCAGCTTCATTCTCAGGTAGCTGCAGGAAGTTAAAAGGTCTCTTTCAGCATCTTATTCCCCTCTGCAGATCTTGTTGGGAAAAAAGGGGAAGGTGGGCTCTATGCAGATTTGTGGCACAAGCTCACCCCTTTTTCATACTCCACTTCTACATTTTTCCAAGTTCCTGTGACTTCTGCCTTTTAAACTTAAGGTTTTCAGGCTTGACAGGAAAGGGACTTAGTTGTGACCATGAGCCAGCACTGTGCCCTCGTGGCCAGGAAGGCCAATGGCATCCTGGGGTGTATCAGAAGGGGGGTGGTCAGTAGGTCAAGAGAGGTTCTCCTCCCCCTCTACTCTGCCCTGGTGAGACCGCATCTGGAATATTGTGTCCAGTTCTGGGCCCCTCGTGTCAAGGGGGACAGGGAACTGCTGGAGAGAGTCCAGCGCAGAGCCACAAAGATGATTAAGGGAATGGAGCATCTCCCTTATGAGGAAAGGCTGAGGGAGCTGGGTCTCTTTAGCCTGGAAAAGAGGAGACTGAGGGGTGACCTAATTAATGTTTATAAATACGTGAAGGGTGAGTGTCAGGAGGATGGAGCCAGGCTCTTCTCTGTGACATCTAGTGATAGGACAAGGGGCAATGGGTTCAAGCTGGAACATAGGAGGTTCCGCTTGAGTATGAGGAAAAACTTCTTTACAGTGAGGGTGACAGAGCACTGGAACAGGCTGCCCAGAGAGGTTGTGGAGTCTCCTTCTCTGGAGACATTCAAAGCCCGCCTGGATGCGTTCTTGTGTGATCTGATCTAGGTGTCCTGCTCCGGCAGGGGGATTGGACTAGATGATCTTTCGAGGTCCCTTCCAATCTCTAACATTCTGTGATTCTGTGATTCTGTGATGGGGGGATGGAATTGAGAGGGAGTTGTGATAAATCTCTCTTGCCGTAATAAAAGGGAACTTGCTCTTCAGGCACTAGACAATGCCTACAGAGGAAATAAATCCTCCCACCACAACCACCACCATTACCACATCTACTGTAAGCTTTCACTTCCTTTACCATCCCCCTTTTCTGAAAGCCAAGCTCTCTCCGCACCCTCTGCCCCTCGACACAAGGGCCACCCATGCAACTTCTAACCAGCACCTGTCTAGGCAAAACTGCACAGCATGCCCCAGGGACTAACCAACTTTGGCTGTGTCCTGGTGTTGTGCTGCTGGGGCAGATTACTTCTTGGCCCATTCCTGGTTGGTGGTTTTTTTTTTTTTTAGTTTCCTTATGTTACACAGTAGAAGCACATGTGGTCTAGAGAGGTGCACTACTTTGCTGTATGTATCTTTTCCTCCCAGGTTGTAGCACATCTTTTCAGACATAACATTGAGGGTACGGCCAAGCTACCCTGCAGCAAAGCAGAATGAGTGCTCTGGATCTTTCCTTGGTCCCTTCCCTTTATACCAATGCAAACTCCAATTACAACAGTGCCTCAGCAGGCTCGTTACACTCTATTTTATAATAAAACTAATGGTCTAAACGATGTGCAGCATGTGTACTTCCAAAGAGGCAGTTTGAGAAACTCAGGACTTACAAGTGTCATTGTGTTCAGGCATCCTTTCACATGAGTCTATCATCTTTTGGTCAGTGACTTGAAGCAAGTTTTAGTAAGTGCCAGGAAACTAATTCTTACCATCACAAATTAATTATATACACTTCAAGTACAGGCTCAGCACTAACTCAGGGTAGACATGTCAATAACTAACTCTGAGTTTTAAGTACTTTGTTGAGTGCTGTACAATTCAGCAGCAGTTAGATCCAAGAGGCAGCTTCTACCACACTGCCTTGGAGTAAGGCAGTTTATTGGTTCTCAGCTCAGTTGCACAACAGATTTCATGGTGCTATAC